AAGCAAAATAAAGCAAAACAAAATGATGATGAAACATGGGGTTTGCCTGGTTTAAGTTTCGAAGAGTAGAAGCATTTAAGCATGATTGCCATCTGGGCAGTGGACAATCCCCCCTTTATGGTGTTTATCCCTGATTCTCCTGTTCCAAGTGGCATTTTGCCAGTGCCGCATTACAGCTCAAAATGACCAAACTCTCTCTCTCTCTCTCTTAGTCTGCCTGAAATTCTGACCCATGCCTATAGCATATCTTAAGATTGCTTGTTTCGTTCACCTCCAAAGTGGGGCTGAGTTCACCCTGCGTTCCTATATAGATGTTCACATCAATCCATGCTCCACGTGTCCCCCATGGCAGCCTGGTGATGTTGGCCTGAAATTCTGCTGACCCCCACTCAGACCTCAGAGGTTTGCCCTGATCTCATATTGGGTGCCTGAATTATCATGGGATATGATGTGATCCATGAAAATCCGCTGGTTGATTGAACTGCAATTCCCCACCTGCCAGGTGAGGGTTCCTTTGTTTGTAACAGAACTTCACACGCCCACGCGCGCCCACACACCCACACACCTAGACGGACACATATACACACACTAGACAAGAATGGATCATTATATGATCCGGCAGGAACTGAGTCCTGTGACATGCATATTAGATTAGTTACTTAGATAAGGATGAGTATATATATATGGGACTATGGTGACCACCAGCTGCGTCTTACAATTGCGCCCAGGTGCGTCACCACAGTCCCGCGGGTACGTTTACACGGGTCCCGGGGAGGTGTCTTCGTTGATCACCGACCCCCCCGGGACCCCGGTGATCCCCCGCATATAGATATATAAAGTATAAGAAGTTTTACGTCTATTCAGACGGTACACACACACACACACACACATGCCCGGACACAAAAGGAGAGCTTGCTAGCTCTCTGCTGGGGCTTGCCGGACTCAAATCTCATGCCAGATGCCACACAGAATGCCCCAAAGAATGCCAAATAAAATATCAAATAACATGTCAGATAGACTGTCAGTTAAAATGCCAGATAGAATGTCAGAATATGAATCAGAGAGAATATCAGAATGTATGTTAGATAAAATGTCAGGTAGAATCCCAGATAGAATGTCAGAATATATGTCAGATAGAATGTCAAAATATATGCAAGATAAAATGTATTAAAATGTCAAATAGAATACCAAATCGAATCCCAGATAAAATGTCAAAATATATGTCAGATAGAATGTCGGATAGAAGGCCAGGTAACATGCCAGATAGAATATCAGAGAAGATATCAAATAGAATGTCATAATATATCTCAGGAAATATGCCATTATGCCAGGGTGGGGATCACACGAAGTAAAGGAATTGTTGTAACTTTTCTTACAAACCACCATTTCGAACGGTATAACTGTTGGTCGCCCTGTTACCATGGTGCTTCAATCCTTCACTGGTGCTTCAATCCATCGATCATCATCCCGTGTCGAATGGAAAATCGCAAAAATATAAACGTGCCACTCAATGTATGTACATGCATGGGTGATATGCACATAGTGTATCATATTGTATCATATGGTATCATATGGTCATATATATTGTCCCAATTTTTCATACTGTGTGTGTGTTGGTCAAACATGGTTAAGCCTCCCACCAGCAGCCACTAAGCACCGAGTCCTGCAGGTGGGACGACTGGATGGTGGACGCCCAAATAAAGGGGTTGAAAATGGCCATCAAATAATGGGATCAACGGATTAACATGCATTACCCTCTGGTAATTTAACATAGCTATTGAAAATGTCCGTTTATAGCGAGTTTTCCCATTAAGAATGGTGATTTTCCATAGTTATGTTAGTCCAGAGGGTAACTGTCAAAATTTCAGTTTTTTCCCCCTAAATCTTCGGACAGTGCCAAATCTCAAAAAAGGAACACATCTGGATCTTTGCAGCAACAACTGCTATAGTGTGTGCAACAGCACTGCCCTTCCCCATGAAACATGTGCAAATCACCAAATATCACCGGTTCAACTGAAGTTTGAAGAAACATAAATCCAAAGTGTAAATGCTTCCGCCATCTTCCACTGACAATGGGATTTCGACATGACTTGACCATCAAAATGCGGAAGTAATCGCCGGGAACTGCCCTTACAACCCGTCCGGCGCAAAGTCCGTGGTCGCGCCAATTTCCTTCAGAAATCTAGGCCTTTTGCAGCGATTGGGGGTTTTGTCAAGCTGGGTATGTATGGCCACCTGAACTGGGTTGCCAATGGACCTACAATTGTTAGGCAACTTTCACCACAGTAACTAAATCAATCAACGGCCGGATTTAAGGAAAATCTACAGGATTCCACGTTTTTACCGCTATGTGAATATGGGGGGTTCCTGTCCAACTCTGGAAATCATGTTGAACCAAAAAATGATTAAACATGATAAAACGTTAGAGCGACCAGGCATTTTGGGCACGATGACCTTCACTGCTCGCCTAACCATCTGGGATCATTGTGGCGGTGAAAGATGCAGCCTTTTCAGAGATATTGTGGCCATGATTCCAAGGTTTTGGGATAGTTTTGGGTCACTAACCAAACTTCGCCACAGTTTCTTACGCTTCCCCTGTGGACCCCTGCAGAAAGGTCATTAGAAACTGCGTTCCTTCCTGGCGCCGCTTGGCAAAGCTAGGGCCAAACCAAGCTAGGTAGATGTATAGGAATGGCAAATCTGTGAGGTATTTGTACGTATTTTGAGCATTTTTGAAAATGCTCCAGAATGGTTCTATAATGTTCTATAATTTATCTAGTCTATACTATATAATCAAGTGGACGAATAGAATGAAAAATGGCGGGTTGGTCGTTTTACATCGTTTTACAGTTTTACCCCATCCTCCATAGAGAATGTCACTTCGATTCACTTCGGATCATCAGAATGAAAACTCACCTGGCTGACACCAGCGACTAGGTCAAGAGCGCTGCCCACCTGCTTGTTTCCATCGACTCCTAGGATGTTGTTTATATCTCCAAAAATGAAGAAAACATTACGCTCACTGAGGTATTCACATATGTTTAAATTATGTTTTCAAAGGATATATTTAGGAATCACCATGGCACACGGCCTCCCAGATCTCCATGTAATAGTTATGGGCAACATCATTATATCAATAATGTTAAAATCTGAAAACCCAGTGGTATACCGCTGTCAACATCCGCTTCCGCTTGAATGTTTCATAAGTTCTGCCTTCTGTAAACGTTCCCTCTCTCTGCTGGCGTCTCCCGCCCGTATCTCCCGCCAGCGCCAAACAAGGCGATCGAGATTGTAATTTTCTTTTTCGGCAAAATGTTTGCACCAGCGGCAGCAACAGCAGGAGGTAGCAGCAGCAGGAGGAGGAGGAGGAGGAAGCAGCAGCAGGAGGCGGAAGCAGCAGCAGCAGCAGGAAGCAGCAGCAGCAGGCGGAAGCAGCAGCAGCAGCAGCAGCAGGAGGCAGCAGCAGCAACAGGAGGCAGCAACAGGAGGCAGCAACAGGAGGCAGCAACAGGAGGCAGCAGCAGGAGGCAACAGCAGTAGCAGCAGAAGGAAGCCGCAGCCGCAGCAGCAGCAGGAGGCAGCAGCAGGAGGCAGCAACAACAGCAGCAGGAGGCAGCAACAACAGCAGCAGGAGGCAGCAACAACAGCAACAACAGCAACAAAAGCAGCAACAGCAACAGCAGCAGCAACAGCAGCAGCAACAGCAGCAGCAGCAGGAGGCAGCAGCAAGGAGCAGCAAGCAAGCAGCAAACAAGCAGAAAGCAAGCAGAAAGCAAGCAGAAAGCAGCAACCAGAGTTCGCCCCGTTGAAAGAATAATGAAATATAATATATATAAATTTTATAAATCAACACAATATAAAAATTGAATTTTTTCTAGGTACACGGTCCCAAAACAATGAAATTATCCAATTACTAAAAATTATGGTGATGCCAAATTTGAACTTTTTCCAGGCGCACGGCCTCCCGATACAATTTCTACGAGCTGATACGACTTAATGCTAGGGCTAGTAGGGTCAAATAGAATCATATCAACAAAACATTGCACACAACAATAAAAGAGTGTTCGAACCAATAACCCATCAAATAAAGAAGTATCAAAATCTATACGAAATATTACGCGCACGCAGGTATAATACGATTTCAGGTCGATTAATACGATTTAGGCCTAATGGTCGTAATATTATATTAATAATTTTTATTTTAAATTTATTTTAAATCTAGGAATAAGATTATAAAAATAATTTAATATTAATTTTTACCTCTTTAATATTATTTTTTTAATAAATAATTCAAATAATAATTAATATTAAAAAAATAATTATTATTAAAAAAAAAATTAAATAATTAATAATTAAAACATATTTAATCAATTTAATTTTTTTTTTTTTTAATATAATATAGTTAAAATATTATTAAAAATTAATTTTTAAAATATTATTTATAAAAAATATTAAATTTTTAATAATAAATATTATTTATTTTTCCAACTTCAAATTAATATATTTTTAAAAAATAATTTTCAAATTATATTTTATTAATAAATTTAAAATCTAAATAATAAAAATTATATATTTTTCCAATTTTAAATTTATTTATATAATATAATTAAAAATATTTTTTCAAAAAAAAAAAACTAATATAAAAAAATAAAAATATTCGAATAAATCTTAATAATAAATATTCCGGAATTAATTAGATTTTATTATTAAGGAGTAATATCCAAAAATAATAAATTTATTTTTTAATTTTTGTTTAAAGGGGTTTAATTAATAATTAAATTAATTAATTAAAAATTGTTCAAATTAGGAAATAGATCCTAGTATTTGTTTGGGTAGAGAATTCAATAATAAATTATAATTTTAAAATTTTTAATATAATAATTTATTTTTTTTATATATTTTTTTATAAATATATTTTTTTTAAGGAAATATAATATAATATATATATAATTAAAGATAATTATTAACATTTATCTTTATATTAAGAGAATTTAATAAATTTGTTTTTCTAGGTATCGATTGGTCGGTTCTGAGAGACGGATTTCTTGCCAGATTCCTGGTTGTGTCCTGGCGTTGTGAGATATGAGAATGAAGGGTATCCCTCTTCCATGGCTATTTTTATGGGGAATATATGGGATATAATGATTAATAAAAATAATATTAATTATTAATTAATCAATGGATGGATTGGGATATCCCATTTTCCGACAAACCTACATATCCTAAATTATAAAATTTTAGCAGGCAACATATTCAGCTCGATATGTAATATTATATGATACAATATTACCATTTCTGGCAAGATGTTGCACATTTTGCGTGGAAACCACCCCTGATGATCCCCTGATTAATTACAGATAGAGATGCATTTGGCCATGATCAGGCAACTCGGAGTGCAGAAAATACACGTTGGCATAGCCATAGCATGAAATGAATAAAAATGTAGCTAATATCATCAACGCATTGGAAATTGTTGGCTACAGACCAGAAATAAGAAAACATGTTGAAACCACCAGCCAGTAGATTGGATTCACTTCAGCTGCCTGAAACACATGAGACTTTCTCTGGATTCCTAGCGAATTTCCCAATGGAAAGATAGAATTTTGACACCAAAATTGAACGGTTCTCTCCCCAAGTTGAGCCTGCGCCCCTCCCCCATCAGCGACATGGACAATTACAGTTGTGTCAACATTTGGAACCCCGAAATATCCAAAATCACATTGGTTTGGAAGTTTGGAAAATATGTGTCCCATATGTTCCCAATCTTTCCCAATCTTAGGGAAACCCATTTTAGCAATTCTGTTTCCATATTTTTCACCGTCTTTCAACGGGATTCAATGGCCAGTTGGGGTACCGTTCCATGACCCATCCAACTCAGGGCGCAGCTGAACTTGCAGCTGCGAAATTGGCTTGGGGCCGCTTACCCTTCGACGGATATGCTGGGAGTCAGACGCTGGATGACGTTGGTAGGGTGTACTGAAAGAATCTAAAATCATGAATCATGATCAATGGCCAAAAAAATCCCAAAAACATGTTCAAAAACAATTCAGATATGCTTGAGTGGTGGTGCTACTGAAAACTGTAGAAAACGACTGAAACATGGCATCAAACAGAAGCAATCCAGCAAAAGGAAAAATACGTTGATATACGCTGATGTTTCTGATATCATCATCGGATAATTGGGTAAACTTCTTCATGTTTAGTATCATCCAAAAACAGAACGACAAGCGGACTGCCAAAAACGATTGAACTGCCAAGGACCCACAAGCCTCGTTCGAATGTACCATGTGTCCTTGGAGGGGCGTTGGCCCCAATGTTCCCCTATGATTGATTACCAATATGAGTTGTTGGGAAGCTGTGAGATGTATCCTCGAATGCATATATGGTTTGATACTTGAAACGACCCAAACCTGTCCATCACCGGGTCTGAAGCTTTGACTGAGACCCCATAGCTGAGCTCAGCGCCAAGCCCTGACTGGCCACCCAGCATTGGGACCTGCAGCCTGGCCAGTCTGAGACTTAACATCTCCATTACATAGGTTGGTGGATGTTGGTGGTCCTCCCCAAGAGCTGGCGATTAGAATCTCCAATAGTACTTGTCCCAAAACTCCCAAAAAAAACCGAAAAATACGCATTTCCTGCGGACCCCCCGCGAAAAGGCATGACTTTCTCAGAGGAAAACAAGAGCATTGTAAAACGGTGAAGAAGGGATTGCTGAAGAGAATAGAGGTGGCAAATGTCGTGCGCTGATGTTCTCGACGTCCAAACTCAAAACTTCAGAAGGACTCAGGTTTCTGGGGGTTGTACCTCTTGGACCTGTGACATCCCAATTTTTTACCGCCTTTTGACAAGTTTCTGATAGTTGTTTCAACATGAAACGTGACCAAAATATATACCAAAATCAGAACTGTATCTAGCCTATAGGAAGCCTATTCCAAATTATGGAAAAACAAATTCACATCCCGTCACATCCCCACCTCAGGATGACAGGCTGTTCATGTCGACCCAGTGCCCTGAGCTGTCCATGGTCCAAGGCTCCAGTGATGAAAAATCGGAAGTCGTCTGGGGATGTCTGGGGCGCCGGGCCGTGTCTGGGACTTGATGGGCCACGGGGTTGGACCTCGCTGAAAAGACAAAGATGGGCATATAGACAGCAATCTTAAGGATATATAACTGATATATATACTGATACTAGGGGGGTTCCTAAAAAGGATGATTTATAATATTTATAGTGGAAAATCCCAAACAAAAATGGATGATTTAGATTGATTTAGGGGTACCCCTATTTTAGGAAACCTCAGTATACCCACGAGCAGTATCAGGATGTATCAAGTCAACCACCCAAGGCTTACCCACTCCAAGGTCCGTTTGTTCTACCACTTCCATAGCGCTCAGGCGGCAGTGAAGCACCCAGGGTGCCCCGCGTCTCACAATTCCAAGTCACCTCCAAACATGGCCTGGCGCCTCAGCACCGCAGAAGGGTACTACTGTGGATGGAAGAAATCCTGCACCACCTTGGATGGTTGAAACCCTATAAATAATGGGATAAACCATCTATCAACTGGTGCAGGATTTCTTCCATCCACTGTATCATCAACAACTGGTGGAAGCTTTGATCGTCATCTTTACCGAACATAAAGTCAGTATCAGTCAGCTCTGACCCGTTTTTCCATTGTGGTATTCAAAAGCCATGTTGCCCATTGATGACGCCACATCTTAAAACCTATGGTGTTTCATGTTGGTTCTCCCAACAACAGGCGTTGTCACAACAATCCCAGTGGCTGGCTGTAAACAAGCACTCTCTGAGGACGCGGGAATGTTTTTAGATGCTATATTAGTACCAATAGCTGGTTAATGGATGCTTAATTATTCCGATATTCCCCCAAAATACGGTAATAGATGGTAATAGTAGGTTTGGACCCATTCCCCCGCCATATCCCAATCTTGGACTCCAAACATCTCCCAGTTCACGGGCGTTGCACCAGCGGGGTCCGGGCCATCGCCCTCCCTTTGAACCTGGGGCTGTTGCAACTGGGATAGACTCTCGGAAACATATGGCAAACACGACCTTTTCACAAATGCGGAATGTATATTTTTTCCAAGGGATGGTCATCCCTGCAAATCATTGTTTATATTTAACTAAGTTTAACTACAATAGAATAATATGACTGTGATGTGTGTATCCGAGTATCCGGTCTCTAGATTTCTCTTCGCTTTTCTTACTCATTGTGACTGCCCCAGAAGGGTGATGTCAAGTGTAGGGACCACTGATTCTGGTCATTTCGAAGTCAACCGTCCCAGTTTGGGGTAGCTAAGTTTCACTCATTAAAAACAAAGAGGACAACCCTTTTCCAACCTGATCCAAGCGGAATTTAAGATAGTCGTAACAGTCGTAACGTGTATGTAAAACCCCTAATGTGGAGTTCTACCGCGACCAAACATGTGCCCAACCGCAAAAATTGGCCGCGCCTTCAAGAGCATCCTTCCTAAGAGGCGAGCCAAGCGTTTTGCCTGGGGCATGGTGTGTGAATTTGGTCGCTTGAATTTGTGGGGTTTAACTACCAAGAAAAGGGATTTAACATGATTTAACTAACAAAAGATTGGGGAATGGTCAATTCAGCTACACACAGGTGAGTCTAACACGTTAATTTCGGTGACTACACTTTTTGCTGGTTAGGAAACATTATTCCCATTAACAGGGCTGTTCGCAACACCCCAGATACAAGGGGGAAAACTGGTGAATCAAGAGGTAAAATTGACCCATTTTTACCAACAAAAAGTGGCCATGATTCGCCGAGAAGAAGAATCAATCCGGATTTTGGTTGGTGAAATCCGATGAAATCATATAGATCATATAGTAAAATCATCTAAAATCCCTAAAGTTTGTTTGTTAAACCATGTTAAACCCTATTAACCCCCAGGAAACCTCCATGTTTAAGGTCGTAAACTACCCATCCACCGTCCTTTCGGTTTGATCTTTCAGGACACCTTGGTCGACTTCTGCAACTGGACCATCTCATCACTGACCTGGCAGAGATCCACAGTGAGTTAAAATAGGGGGATACCCACAAATAGCAATTTTAATGGGGAACATGGTGATAATCCATTGGAATATGAGATACACCATTTTCAGACAAACCCATTTTCAAGCTTGAATTTCGTGAAGACATTCGAATGTTGTGAAGAATGTGAAGACATGACATGCATGTTTTAGAAGCAATGCCGGCAATGCCTGCCTCTGCACCGCCGATCGTGATCTGTCTTTTGCCAGTGAAAGGACCTGGAGGAGTGTCAGTGTCAAACACCTTTGGGGATCTTTGGGGACTAGACCAGTGCTATCCCGTGCCAATGTCTTTCAACCTAGAAAGGAAGGTGACCGGTGGATCTCGATCGATGTAGCTCCGTCAAGAGATGAAGCAAAGGTGGCCACACCCTCAAACTGACTTGAAGGATTTGGCGCCACGAACTGCTAGTGCTGATCGTGGGAGCTCAACACTTTGTGGATCTTTGTGGTAGCCACTCTAGGCACCCCAGCAGAAACCATCGTTCAACCGACCTTCTGCCACTAGTCGTTGCAGTTGAAGTGCCAAGGCTATGCCTGGTGAAGCTGCGGCAGGATGGCACTCCTGGAGACCTTCAAGGACTGCCACCAGTGACCTATGGCGCCGTGTGATTCCATGGGTTGAACGGAAAACCTACAGGGAATCATAGTTTTTTTCGCTGAAAGTAAGGTTTTCCTGTACAAGTTCCCTTAAACCTCCCCAACTAAGAGATATTAAGCAGGTCTCTCTTGGATTTCGGGACTATACAAACTACAAAATTGGTAGATCAGGGCATCCGGCTGAGGGTCCACAAGCATCCGTTTCTCTAGTTCTAAGCCAGTGGTGGGTTTTGAGGTGCCCCTCCATCTTGGTAAGAGCTAAAACATCACTCATCTCGGCCACAAGATTCGGGTTGGAAGATGTTAGAACATGATTATTCCATGTTCTTCCATATTTTATCCGCTGGAAGTGGCTATTTTCAGTCAGTGCCTTCTCTGTGCCTTGAAAATCAAGGGACCGCCGTTCCCAACAGCCAGGTGAGTGTCCGGACTGGGCTAAAGAACCAAGCCCTGCACCTCGGACAGAGCCAGATGTCAGGCCACTTTGGGTGTATCCCAGGCAATTCTATGACGCAACGCTTCATGGATTGCAATGATTATGATATATACTTTGCGTTTACATTAATATATATATATATTATAATATAATATAATATTATATTATATTATATTATATATATAGATAGATAAAATCAATTTATCTACATAATATATATATAATATAATATATATATATAATATACGTGAATAGATAGATATACATATAAAATAACATATATACAGTTGTATACATATATCAACAAAATGAATGTCAATTGTTCTCAAGAGCAATGATATATCTAAAGGCACGGATCGTCTAAAAAAAGGGTGCGGTCACCAAGTGCAAACAAATGGTGCAGTGGCACGGCACCGGTACGGCGCAGGCACGGTACGGGTACGGGTGCTGGTACGGGTGCGTACACAATACCGTACCTATTATACCCGTGACTGTACCGCCGTACCCGAACCGTGCCCGCATCTTTTTGGCGCTTGTTGGGATGGCCTTGGCTAGCATGGTTTGAATTTAACAAAGCTTAATAGCCCTCAATAAGCCCTGGCAAACAGCCTTATTTATACCGGGTATATTGCTGTAATTACTGTACTTGTATTGTACTTGCTTGCTATTTTGTAAAGACCCCAAAAAAAAAGAAGTAAAATCCTCCTTAAATTGTGACAAATCACTAGAAACATTTTCACGAACAACCCATTTTGAGATGCCCCAAGTTTGACCCGCACAGACACGTCCGAGTGTTGAGGCTAGCACGCATGGCTAGCAACGGGTCATAAGGACCAGAGAGGAGGTCGTTGAATCTGAAAGCCGTTGGGAGGAGCAAATTCCAGAGAAAATCTGAAAACCATCTAGACTTTCCATTCAACATGAAGATATAAGCAAAATAAAGCAAAACAAAATGATGATGAAACATGGGGTTTGCCTGGTTTAAGTTTCGAAGAGTAGAAGCATTTAAGCATGATTGCCATCTGGGCAGTGGACAATCCCCCCTTTATGGTGTTTATCCCTGATTCTCCTGTTCCAAGTGGCATTTTGCCAGTGCCGCATTACAGCTCAAAATGACCAAACTCTCTCTCTCTCTCTCTTAGTCTGCCTGAAATTCTGACCCATGCCTATAGCATATCTTAAGATTGCTTGTTTCGTTCACCTCCAAAGTGGGGCTGAGTTCACCCTGCGTTCCTATATAGATGTTCACATCAATCCATGCTCCACGTGTCCCCCATGGCAGCCTGGTGATGTTGGCCTGAAATTCTGCTGACCCCCACTCAGACCTCAGAGGTTTGCCCTGATCTCATATTGGGTGCCTGAATTATCATGGGATATGATGTGATCCATGAAAATCCGCTGGTTGATTGAACTGCAATTCCCCACCTGCCAGGTGAGGGTTCCTTTGTTTGTAACAGAACTTCACACGCCCACGCGCGCCCACACACCCACACACCTAGACGGACACATATACACACACTAGACAAGAATGGATCATTATATGATCCGGCAGGAACTGAGTCCTGTGACATGCATATTAGATTAGTTACTTAGATAAGGATGAGTATATATATATGGGACTATGGTGACCACCAGCTGCGTCTTACAATTGCGCCCAGGTGCGTCACCACAGTCCCGCGGGTACGTTTACACGGGTCCCGGGGAGGTGTCTTCGTTGATCACCGACCCCCCCGGGACCCCGGTGATCCCCCGCATATAGATATATAAAGTATAAGAAGTTTTACGTCTATTCAGACGGTACACACACACACACACACACATGCCCGGACACAAAAGGAGAGCTTGCTAGCTCTCTGCTGGGGCTTGCCGGACTCAAATCTCATGCCAGATGCCACACAGAATGCCCCAAAGAATGCCAAATAAAATATCAAATAACATGTCAGATAGACTGTCAGTTAAAATGCCAGATAGAATGTCAGAATATGAATCAGAGAGAATATCAGAATGTATGTTAGATAAAATGTCAGGTAGAATCCCAGATAGAATGTCAGAATATATGTCAGATAGAATGTCAAAATATATGCAAGATAAAATGTATTAAAATGTCAAATAGAATACCAAATCGAATCCCAGATAAAATGTCAAAATATATGTCAGATAGAATGTCGGATAGAAGGCCAGGTAACATGCCAGATAGAATATCAGAGAAGATATCAAATAGAATGTCATAATATATCTCAGGAAATATGCCATTATGCCAGGGTGGGGATCACACGAAGTAAAGGAATTGTTGTAACTTTTCTTACAAACCACCATTTCGAACGGTATAACTGTTGGTCGCCCTGTTACCATGGTGCTTCAATCCTTCACTGGTGCTTCAATCCATCGATCATCATCCCGTGTCGAATGGAAAATCGCAAAAATATAAACGTGCCACTCAATGTATGTACATGCATGGGTGATATGCACATAGTGTATCATATTGTATCATATGGTATCATATGGTCATATATATTGTCCCAATTTTTCATACTGTGTGTGTGTTGGTCAAACATGGTTAAGCCTCCCACCAGCAGCCACTAAGCACCGAGTCCTGCAGGTGGGACGACTGGATGGTGGACGCCCAAATAAAGGGGTTGAAAATGGCCATCAAATAATGGGATCAACGGATTAACATGCATTACCCTCTGGTAATTTAACATAGCTATTGAAAATGTCCGTTTATAGCGAGTTTTCCCATTAAGAATGGTGATTTTCCATAGTTATGTTAGTCCAGAGGGTAACTGTCAAAATTTCAGTTTTTTCCCCCTAAATCTTCGGACAGTGCCAAATCTCAAAAAAGGAACACATCTGGATCTTTGCAGCAACAACTGCTATAGTGTGTGCAACAGCACTGCCCTTCCCCATGAAACATGTGCAAATCACCAAATATCACCGGTTCAACTGAAGTTTGAAGAAACATAAATCCAAAGTGTAAATGCTTCCGCCATCTTCCACTGACAATGGGATTTCGACATGACTTGACCATCAAAATGCGGAAGTAATCGCCGGGAACTGCCCTTACAACCCGTCCGGCGCAAAGTCCGTGGTCGCGCCAATTTCCTTCAGAAATCTAGGCCTTTTGCAGCGATTGGGGGTTTTGTCAAGCTGGGTATGTATGGCCACCTGAACTGGGTTGCCAATGGACCTACAATTGTTAGGCAACTTTCACCACAGTAACTAAATCAATCAACGGCCGGATTTAAGGAAAATCTACAGGATTCCACGTTTTTACCGCTATGTGAATATGGGGGGTTCCTGTCCAACTCTGGAAATCATGTTGAACCAAAAAATGATTAAACATGATAAAACGTTAGAGCGACCAGGCATTTTGGGCACGATGACCTTCACTGCTCGCCTAACCATCTGGGATCATTGTGGCGGTGAAAGATGCAGCCTTTTCAGAGATATTGTGGCCATGATTCCAAGGTTTTGGGATAGTTTTGGGTCACTAACCAAACTTCGCCACAGTTTCTTACGCTTCCCCTGTGGACCCCTGCAGAAAGGTCATTAGAAACTGCGTTCCTTCCTGGCGCCGCTTGGCAAAGCTAGGGCCAAACCAAGCTAGGTAGATGTATAGGAATGGCAAATCTGTGAGGTATTTGTACGTATTTTGAGCATTTTTGAAAATGCTCCAGAATGGTTCTATAATGTTCTATAATTTATCTAGTCTATACTATATAATCAAGTGGACGAATAGAATGAAAAATGGCGGGTTGGTCGTTTTACATCGTTTTACAGTTTTACCCCATCCTCCATAGAGAATGTCACTTCGATTCACTTCGGATCATCAGAATGAAAACTCACCTGGCTGACACCAGCGACTAGGTCAAGAGCGCTGCCCACCTGCTTGTTTCCATCGACTCCTAGGCCCAGAAAGCCCGAAAAAAAACAAGTTTTGGGATGTTTTGGGGAATAAGTTTCCTGGTAAAACATAGGGCACAGTGGCAATAGTGAACATCGTTTTGGGGGGGGTAAATAATCTAGATATGTCATGATATGTCCAGGGTGGATTTTCCCGCAAACCAGAGTAGAGAAGGCGGAAGTGCTGGAATTTATCATCAACCATCATTGAAGACATGATGGACCCGTATTGATCCGTATTGTATGTTTGATGCTTACTGTAAAAGCCCTTTATTTCAAGGGTCGTTCATGGGAATACCGGAATACCGGAATCCCCATCATCCACCCTGATGTCTGAGCTCCTACCAGCAACAGCATTGGAAGCCGGATCCACATCGGCGCCATGGGGACATGGGGACCCTGGGTCCAGGCCGCCCTCAGTATCTATTCCTGGTTGATGCATTTATATTCTGCTGATGAGTGTGTCTGAAAATTGAGGAATACCTCCAAATGATCAAAAGTTGCTATTTTATTTTTTTGATATGTTTCAATGTGGAACTATATGATGATCAACCAACAAACATGGGATTATATACCTGATTTTCAGACAAACACAGATGTGACAGATGTCTGAATTTATGTCTCTGACCTATGGCGACGTTCTTGTCTACATCATCAGGTCAATAAACATGAAGATGACATTGCGTACTGTTTTTTTTGCAGAGCAGTGGACAGATCGAAATTCCAAAGAGTTGTCTCATCTTTGTGTTTGAACCTCAGGAACAGCAGCCAATCATTGCTTAGCGGCAACATAGCGGTCTGTCACCTTGAAAGCTGCCGCTTCTTGGATAATCTGACTTGAAGCAAGGATCTACCAACATCGAGCAACAAAAGGCAGGAATCTGTCACCAGTGTCCCACTGCAGCATGAATTCTTGCACCCCCTGAAGTCCAAGTGCATCTCTGGTCCGCAACCACTTTTCCCCACTGCTGTTCCAATTCTGAAGTACCCCTGGCATCAGCAGAAAGTAAAGGGTTCAAACGTAAAACATAACCACTTGAAGCCCTTCCAACGACCATGGTTCCTACCCATCCCAAAATCATATAATGAGCATTTGTGTATACATGCAAACATTACATGACATTACACTACATTACATTACATTGCATTGCACTGCATTACATTGCATTGCATTCCGTTACATTACATGGAGTCATTTAGGATCATTATCACACTTTAATACTGGAAAATAACACCAATCAGAAATCGCCTGCCAACTCATCAAACAAACCACGCCTTGAACCACACGGGAGCGAGGAAACTTCCTGGGGATATCTGGCAACTCGACCTAGGAACCTGCCTAACCTAGCTGAAACTCAGGACACAGGAATGAGTTATGCTTTTATGTTTAATGGGAATGCGTCAGCTCATATGGAGAGGACAGCAACTATTGAAACATTGCTTTGCACACAACTTCTTGGCTTTATTATGCTTTATTTACCTATCGAATCCTATTGATGTTTATGCTGGTGGAGTGAAAACCGACCACCGTTTCAACAGTGTCACGACGCGCACTCATGCAATTACATGATGCGATATATATATATATATATGAATATTGTATATTATATGTTTGTGCAGGGTGGGGTGGGCACATGAGGAAGAGAGCCAGTTTGTTTGGTTGAAGTGATAAGGCCCAAAGCCAGCATTGTCTGTTTGCACTGGAGGAATCGATTGCGCCTGGAAGAAAATCAAAGATTCCAGGGAGCCTCCATAAAAAACTGAAAGAAAAAAATAAACAAAGACTCATGGCCTCATTAGGCAATGGCTCTGGCGCTCAAGGCGCAGCAGTAACTGCGTGCTGAGAGCGACTGCCACGCAACTGAAGAAGCAACTGCAACGATGAAGAGAAAAAAAATTGAACGACAAAGGGCTCCAAACTGAGGTAAAATGCACATTTGAACAAATTTAATGATTTTGACATAATCTTTGACCTCTTTGACCATCCATTTTCATTGGCAGGTGCGTGGGGTTGGAGTGGTGGAAGGGTCAAATACGGCGCGTCCTGAGTTTATGCTAGCAGCATGGTAATTATGTCCCACCAAAAAATCACTGGCCTTGTACATTTGGTGACACAAAAACAAGACCTAACTACGACCACAGCGGCAATAACAAAAAAACATTTTGAAGTGTTGCATACGCGTTCGCTGTCTTCCCCAACTATGGCCACAAGCCAACTGTTCAGCCAATCAACTTTCCTGTCCTAAGGTTGGACTCGACTGAGGCCCATACATGGATGACTCTGTCACGAGTTGCTGGTTCAGCCTTCACTGAAACCACAAAGGCTCGTGGCCATGGCGGCTGATGCAA